AGAAAGCAAGATACTGAAATAAAGAGTTTCCTACAACATAGAAACTCCTGTTTTCATTTGTCTCAATTCCTGTTCTGTGCCCAAACTGCTGTGCCTTGTTGCTGCTTTTTTTTTGGTACAAAAATAGTTACATGTCATCTTCAGGGTGAAGGGGGATACATGCTTGGAGATCAAGGTTGTTTGCTTTCGAGTTTTTTTGTTTGTTTGTTTTTTGTTTGTTTGTTTTTGGTTTTGGTTTTGTTCTGTTTTGTTTTTGAGATATTATTCTGGGTGTTTAAATTCATAAGTGTTCAGGGCACAAGTCTCACTTTCAATCAGCAGTTCCAATGAACTGAAAACAGAAATTAGGGGCCTAATTAGTTATCAAGAGAAGACTTTCTAATTGTCCTAATTAGTAGACTATCAGGTCTAAGTCAATTCTGTGCTGAAGTCTTAAATCTCTTGATAGACATGGTAAGAACTATCTAAATTTCAAAGTAACTTTCAATTTATTTTAAACAGAAATTTGTGTGCCTATATGTAAGAAGAATATTATATTTTATTTTTTTTCCATATCTGACAGTTCTTAGGATTCCCAGGTGTCATTGTTTCTGGTTGGATTGTATAATTTTGGAGGGGTATTGTTTTATTTTCTTAAGACATGATCAAAAAAAAAAGAGATAAGTAATATGTTCTATTCACTGAATAGAGATGCTGAAAATGTTGAAGAGATTTTCTGAAAGCTTTCTAAGATTAGCTTTATAATGGATTCTTTGGATTAAAAAAAAAATAAATCCAGGTTTTAAGTAAGCATTGCTTTTATGCAATGTGTCAGTAAGAACAACACTATTAACCAAGTCAGGCTACTACCAGTTTTCATACCAGTCATTTTATATTTAAGTTATATTTATCATGTGCTGAATGTCATACACACATGGGAGGATGCTTGTCTTTTCCTGAAAATCTTAGTCACTTGCAAAGAAAAAAGCATTTTATTTGCTGAAGGCTGAATAGGCCCTTCAAACATCTGCACACTGTTAAACAATCCAGAAAACCCCTTCTCCACAGTCACTGAGCCTTTTGTTTTTAAAGATCAACCTCCTCAATCTGGAGCTAGGAAAGGACTTATTTTTGTACTTGTATCACAGAGGAGAAAAAGGAGTAGCTTGTTAGTAGCTCTCAATTGGACTGTAGTCACTGCAGCCTCACTAAGATCTACTGCATTTCTTCATCTCAGTAGAGAGAGGAACACCTCGTTCCCCACATCCAAGCCTCTTGGTTTAAAGAAATAAATACTGAGCTGGAAATCCAATAAAATGAACTCCCTCCTCTTTTAATTCCCATCAAATACAGAGAGAAAAAATGTGAGAAGGTATAGGTGAAAAAATAGCAGCTTACTGACAAAGAAATAGCTGCAAAAACAATTCCAACAGAACGGTTCAAATCAACGACAGAGAAATTGCTCCTGGTCCCCCTGCCCTTGCACTCCCTTTTGTATACAGACAAAACCAATGATCAATATGTGCTTCCCTGCCCCGCTTTCCTCCCCGGGAGAACAAAGAATGAAAAGTAAAACGAGGGAAAAGAGGGGAGGCAAAGCAAAATCTGGAGAGCCAGTTCATTCCAATGGGGCGTTGTTCTGCTGGAATGCTGGCTCGGCGATGGCAAGGACTGGCTCTCGCCCTACCCACAGCGCAGCGCTGCTGGACTGCAGCGTTATCCCGGGCTCTCCGGGGCTCTCCCGGCGGCAGCGGGTGGTTCGGCAGCAGATCCAGGCTTGGTGGGAGTAGTGGGGTCCAGCGGGCCCAGGACTGGTGGGAGCAGCGGCAGAGACCCCAGCAAAAAGACGGCGTTGCGTGGGCTTTCTAGGCACCAGCCTCCTGTGGTCCACGGAAGAGAAGTAGTTTTGTTCTCCCTTTAGGTCTTTCTTATTTCTTCCCTTCCCTTTCCAGCTCAGGATGGAAGGGGGAGCGGGGCGGGGAGAGGGACGGGGGTGGGTTCGTTCTTAAAGACGCAGTCCTCTGAAACAACGCTGAAAAAAAAGGAATAAAATACAAAAAAACCTCCCATAACTATGACACAAGCACAGTCCCAGGTGCTGCTTTCCTGCTCTGTCAATAGACATTTCTATGCCAGTAGGACTGACAGCAATGGCTTTCTAATGACAGCATTTCCCCTAGTGCCCTTTATTTTCTGCCTTCAGCCCATTTGTGACAGAAGGAATAATTGTATGGAGGACCTGGGGTGGTGGAGGAAGGAAGCAAGAACTCAAATTGTTGCCTGTTGAACAGCTGGACAAAAAGTGTCCACCATGCAGCATTGTTTTATTTAGGCTTGGCATGGTTATTTTGATCACGGAGCTATTTTGCCACTCTTGCGGTGATACAGTGTCAATCAACACTTATCCAGCATCCAAGTCCACCTGTATCCATGTATTGATAGCAACCATTAATCCTTGACACAAAACCTTAGGAGGTAAGGCAAAAAGGAGGCACAGGATACAATCACAGAGGCCACGCAGCCTCTTCTAGAGACAAGGAGGCTAAGAGCTACGCACGAAGTACTTGAAGGACAGAGCCAAACTCTTTTCATTAATGACTGTATCAAACAGTGAGGGCTTGTCTGCACTTATGCGGTAGCTGTCTGTGCTATCCTGTCTCCTGGAAAGACCTTGAGCCTATGTTATAACCTTGTCTCTGGCCCTACCTCCTCACCGAGCTGTCTGGATGGACCCTGAAGCTGGTTCATCACGTAACCTGGTTAAAGGCTATTAATGGACACTGTTCAAGTTCTGTGGGACTGTGCCAGAGGGGTGGAAGCTTGAAGGCACTTCTTGCACTGTGATGACCCTCAGTCCCTGGTTTGTCCTTCCTTGGAGAGTAGTTTCTTCCCATATCCACTGTTGATTCTTGATGTTTCATGGACCTCTGTTTTTACAACCAGAATTGACCAACTGTACAATATACTCAGACTTTCTCTTCAGGGAAAGGAAGATAAAGGTTTACCTTATCTGGTTGAATCTTTGACAGTATCACTGACTGACTGTATTTAAACGCTTCTGGGGATTTCTTCACTTCAGGTATTTCCCTTGGTTAAATAGAAGGTGAGGCTCAAATCATGTTGGATTTCTATTTAGAAGTTTTAAGACTTTAAGTTAGTCAATTACTATATTGCAGAATACTTTATATTTTAAATTATATCTATTACAGGATGATTTCTGTTTTTTTAACCATAAGATGAATTACAGCATGAAGTGGCAAAATTCAAAACAAACACACACACAAAATCTTACTCAGTAGCTGTTGCTGCAATTGGTTTGAGCATTGCAAAAAGTCCTTATTCCTTCATGAGAGTGAGTCTGGACACCCAACAATTGCTTAAATGTAACATTAACCATTTGGCTGCTGATCAAAGCTGTTTGAAAGCAGAGGAAATCTGCAAATTTCCAAAGTAGAATTAACCTGTGCTGAATGAATTATCATATTGGTGTCATGAAGCACTGATGCCTGAGGAAATTCAATCACTTCTCTTTTCTTTCATATGTGTCTTGGAAAGCCAGAAAAGAGCAGCACAGAGACAAACAAAGAAATAATCACTCCTACAGAAAATGGTAAGATATACTAGTCCTGCAAGTATATATATATATGTATGCTGTACTGTATCTTCAAAACTGATTTCATTCATAGACAACGCCCAGGACAGCAACATATTTCTCTTCATAAATCTTGTTTTATAAGCTCTATTGCCCATAGCAACTGGCAGCAGGGCACAGTAAAGGCCAGCCTTGTGCAGGTGACAGGGTGATAGATCAATGTCTTCTGCAAAAGCACTGCCTTTGGAAGTTCAGTTGCACCCAAGGCCTGTACAGTTGCTCTGTCAGACCTGCAGCAACTCCCTGAATTATTTACATGGGAGTTGCAAGTGTCCTCATCATCCCCAAATCTTAAGTGTTTGTTTACGTGCCACTATGGGCAGAAATTCATGCTATCTTTCCTCTGCTGAAGTCTCATCTACAGTCTAGACCTCAGCTTAGGAAAGCCCATAACTGGATACCAATGGGTCCAAAGACATACCAAGCTTTAGGCACCATGGCTTTAAAATCACGATTTAGAAAAATTAAATTCTTAGCTGAATAATAATGTGGACAGTACTTCATTGTTGCAAACACAGCTTAACAGGTAAGGCTCAATACATATTCCTGAGGAAGAGATGATCTGAAACAGAAGGTAATAGTGGAGCCACCACGGTAAGTCTTAGTGCTTTAGGATGGGAGGTAAGGCTGTTGCTGCTGTTGAAAAGCAGGAAAAGCTGAAAGGTAGACATAATTATCCTGGAATTTAGTCACATTAAAAAGCGCGCATTTTAAGATTTAAATTATCAGGATCTTTGTCTACACCATTGGCACCCGAGTGACACCCTTGTGTCCTTGCTCCTGACAGGAGTTCAGCAGGGCAGGAAGTGAGCACCACCTTGTAGGGCCATCTCCCAATCGGGTACCCCAGCTCCCTGTGCCGGGCTCCCACTGGAGTGGTGGGGAAGACCCTTTCTTTGGGGCTTTCCTCTGTGGAGTATGGGTGTTACCCACGAACGTATTTTCGTCTGACAGCGCTATGTTTCTTAATATGTCATGCTATTGGGAAAATTCTCAGAAAGACCAACATCACTTTAAAGTGCTTAAATCCACCATTTACCAAGGCGACGTGGCTGTTTTGATGGCTGACTGACCATCAGGAGAATTCGGTAAAAGCCGTGACTTTTAGGTCAACGATTTGCTTACTTTTTATTTTTTTTAAGCTACGTTTTAAAATATTGTTTTAATTTTTTTTTTTTTTCATTTTTGATTGACTTGGGAGAGGCCCCCGGCGAGGCTCTCCTTCCCCCGCAGACGGCAGGTGGCGCCATGGCGGCGGGAACCGTTGTGGCGGGCAGCGGGAGCCTCCGCCGGGCCCCGCGGGACCTCGGCACCGGGGAACCTGGGACACCGCCGGGACACAGCCGGGACACCCCGGGACACAGCCGGGACACCCCTGGGACACCGCCGGGGGTTCCCCCCCGGGAGTGCTGCGGCTTCGCAGCGGGTTGTGTCTCGGAGAAGCCGGAGCGCTCGCAAGGGACACTTGAGGCTGCGGTGTTGTTTTGGGATCTGAGAGTGTCGGTCACTTGTGGGTTTGGCTGGTGCTTTTCGGTACCACACAGGCACGGTGCGCATCTGCCTCGAGCCTCGCAGGTTCTGCACACCCCTCCCTGACATCTCTCCCAACACACACTCCCACCCTCCATCTTGACCCCAGTGAAAACCGTGGCATTTCCCTCTCAAACTGGGCTGCATCAAAACCAGTGGAGAACCTGTGGAAGGAAAACGTATGGTGGGTCTGTTTTAGGAAGACAGGCTTCACTTTTGGGAGAGGGGAGAGAAAGGGAAGAATAGATGTTTTAATTTTTCTGCATTAGAAAGGAAACCTTGTTTCATGTGTGTGTCTACCCTCAGGCAGCTTTTCCAGCCCCCCGGACTCCTGCCCTCCCTCACCGTGGTTGTGGCTGCCATTTCCTGCTGTCTGTTCAGGCCTTGGGCTTTGCTGTTTTCTTACCAATTGTAGTTTAAAGCCTCACTCCACGGATTTCCTAGGATCAAATTCTGCTTCCCTCACACCTCCCAGGGTGCAGTTTCTGCTAAGCTGGAGCAGTTGATCAGTCACCAAAACATTAAGGACCTTCCTTGTAGGACGGTAGAGCAGAGAAACCATGACACAGAGCAGGCCCAGAGGGATTTGCACAGTTCCTTCACAAACCACAGCTGTGCGTGGTCTTCCCTCATCTTTGTCAGAGCCTTGTGGAATGCTCTGACACAGGGATGTGAAATGTGTCCTGCGTCAGTCCATTTCAAAACAGTGTGCTCTAGAGTGTTTATGTGATGCAGTTTCCTCTGCCATACAGAACCTGATGGGTGTTTGCCTAGAGCTGGATATCCCGCAGCATGAGGTGAACGAGTGATGGTTTTTCTCATACCCTGAGTGGTGGTTTGTGTCTGCCTATGCTCTGGTGTCAGTGTCAGTCCAGCTGCTGTCACTTCCACCAAGAGGAGCAGCCCCCTACCTGTTGGCAATATCCTTTGTGTGATTGCACAGTGACCTGATCCAGCTGAGAGCCAGGAAAAAAAGAAGTGCAGAGGGGCAGGGGGAAGTTAGTTTTCAATGGGATCAGTTCCTTGCTCCAAACACTTGCACAAGCGAAACAGAAGACTTGGCCTGGGCACAAGAAGAAACAGCGTGGGCAGAGAGGGAACACAGTGTCCACATCAGCTAAAACTGATACTGGTATCATGTATGTCAAAAAATACCCTGAGGGCTCTTGATATGAAAGTTGTTGAGACATAATCTTCCACACCTAGACACTTCTGAGCTTAACTGGTAAGCTAGAAGTAGAGGAGCTGGTAGTGGTGGTATCATCACACCTTCACAAAGTTGTTGTTTTTTTTTTTTTCTTGAAATAGACCACCTTTTACAGGGAGGGAGGAAGGAAGGAAGGAAGGAAGGAAAGAAGGAAAGAAGGAGAAACATCACAAACCAAAATTCCCAGGTTTTAAAATACGGCCATTATGTTCCTGGGTTGTTTTTCTAGTGCTGCACCATGAAATGGAGAAGTCTTTTCCACTTCCCTTTCCCCTCTCCTCTTCCTGTGGCAAAATACAGATGTACCTTAAACGGGGGGGGGGGGGGGGGGGGCAAGGTGCCCTGTTGATTCTTATGAAGATATTGTTTTTGTTTTTTTCTTTGTTACTAGATTATAGGATTGAAAACAGATGTTTCTTTTCTTTAAAACATGCTGTATAGCTTGTCTAAACATAAGGAAAACAGCATTTCTCCAGACAATGCTAAGTTCCATCCAAGATTGGAGTCATCTTTATCATGAGGCAGTTGCACTGTAGTAGATAGTTGGATGAAATGCGCATCCAGACTCCTCCAACATCACAGTTCAGAATTTAGTTGTTTTCTGTTTCCATTAAAAGCTTGTAATTTCCAAGATTCTCTAAAATTATTAAATGAACGAGTACAAAGGGGAGATGGGGGACATATGTGTTCATCTGCCTGCCTGTCTTTCCTTCATGCAAAATAAATGCATGCTCACTTGTTTCAGAAAAATTGTTTGCTAGAGATCTATCTACCAGACAGTGGTTCACATGTAGGGAATACATTTTGCAGGAGAATAAGAGCTTTTTCTAATGAGTGAAAACTCTTCAGAGTTTTTAAAGAGTGAAAGCAGACAATAGACTTTGCTTTTTAATCTAGGTAGATTTTGCTGCTGACATTTTGTCACACTTATTTGTTTGTTGGGATCCTCTGTTTTCAGGGGAAGACTTCTTGTTGGGCACATGGGAGTACCAGAGTGGACACTGGTTTTGTGAATAGGAATGCTGGGGACACATGGCTATTGGCAGATTGGAGACACTGAGCATCAGTGCGCTGGTAGGAAAAATTCAAGTCCAAATCAATGTGCTTATGTAAACTCATTTAGCAGTTGTGTTTCTCCACAGGATGTTCCTGAAAGTTTGCAGGGAAATGGCTTTGGCTTTTATTTAGAGCTAATTTCTGCTAACAAGAATAACCTTTGTGCTTTTACTTGCTTATGTGTAAGTCTGGAAAATCTTGATTCCTGAGCAGATAACATGGATTAAAGCAATAACATTTCTGGCCGAAACAGTTGACAGTGGCCAGGTGCTACTCTGATGGTGCTTGATGACAGTGACCCTTTTCCCCTCATCTTGGCATTTTTGGATGGCAGTCATGTGGCCCCAGAGGCCACGCTGTAGAAGCTAATCCGCTGCTGAAGGCATCTGCTCCTTGGCAGGCTCAGTGGACATCTGCATAGGTGGATCTACTTTCTGTCACATGGCCAGGTACCTGGGGTGCAGGTAAAAAAAAACCTGCTTTGCTGGTTTTTTTTTCTTTCCTTTTGGTTTTCTGGAGCTTCCTGAATAAACCAAGAGACGTTTTCTTTATAAGGAATTGGCTGTACATCGCATATGTCCCTCTATTGTTCGTGCTGGGAGAAACTGCACTGAAACAGGATCTTTGTTTCCGGCACCCCTGTCTCTCTCCCTGTACTCAGGCTGAAGTCATAGCCCTCTCTGGGAGTCATTAACATTGGTTACTCTAGAAGCAATTGTGTTTTTGTATGCAGCTGTTTATAATTTCAGGTCTGTGAGGGAATGAGCGATGAACTTAGAGAAGCAAAGCTACTTGGGAGACTTTGTGCTATTTGCTGGAAAGAAGTAAGGAAAGTTTGGGAAAATAAAACAGCCAGAAGGCAGGGAGGTATTGCACGAAGTGGGTAGTTGCAAAATGAACCTTATAAGGGAACAGATGCTTGGCCTCACCAAGTTTAGAGGACTAGAACTAGAAAGGCATGATTGCATTTTACACTAGCTTGAGTCAGGGAGCGGGATGAAACAGTTTTGTAACTCTTGTAATAAGCTATGAGGTAGTTAAAGCATTTGCTGTTGTTATTTTTAGGAATAGAGAAGTCTTCCCCTGTTATCGTTCACTAGCAGGATGGCAGCGTTCACCTTTCCTCCCAGTTCCTCAGGCTGATCTTCCACCTGATCTTCCTTCCTGCTCCCAAGGCTCAGCTTCTCTAGTTTTCATCACAGGTTACACACAGTCCTTCCCACTCCTTTCAGTGAGGTGACGGATGGCACATGGCATTGGAGTTGTGTGCCTAATGATTTGTACCTGCTGCTTTTTGCATCCTAGGAAGTGTTCCTCCAGGCTTTCCAGCATTGCTGTTGTAGTGTGGGACCTTCACAGGCTGCAGTCACTCAGGGGAGTCTCTGGCTCAGTGAATGTTGCCTTCTTGAAGAGAGTGTCTTCAGCCCTCAGCATTATCTCCATGTTCTCCTAATACTCATCTTCACATATCTTCTCACAAGTCTTCTCCATGTTTTTCCTGCATCTTTTTATCTGTATACAGTTCTGTGTCACTTAACTTCTCTCCTAATGGCGGCAATTCATGCTTAAATATGAGTGGAGGTGCCACATGCTCCTTTGGTTGGAGTTTTGACTCACTGTGGGCTGGTCCCATCTGTTTCAAAGCCATAGGAGGTGGCTGTGAGTGGCTCAAGGCACAGTGGCTCAAGCCCACTCCGTGGGCTCTACCCAAGAGGCAACCCCCACAGCTCCTGACACTGAAACCCTGCCAGTTTTGCCCAATTTACTTCCTTTTCATCTCTGCCTATCTCTTGCAGTGTGTTACTGGATTCTATCTCTAGGTTATCTCAGGATTTACTTCCGAGCAACATTACTTTTAAAGTATTGGTGGTTGTCTTGTATGAGCTACATACTGGAAAAATGTAGATATTTTTTTTCCCCCATTAAACCTTTGTTCCTGGAATCACATGATTAAACTATCACTTTATTTTTAATGTGAACTCATAGCTCTTGTGCTTAAAGAGGAAATCTTCAAAATGTAGATTGTAGAAGGCAAATATAAAAAGAAATATTATGGGAACTATTTTTGTGTCTTAGCTTTTGGAGCCAGTTCATAATGTGTAAGCCCTAAGGGTTTGGAATACCAGGGAAGGAGTTGCTTCTCTGTTGTCTCCATATCTGCAAAACTGTAATGATCTCTGTAACTCTTTCATGTTGGACAGATTCACAGAATGGGTAAGGTTGGCATCCCTGCTTCAGCAGCATCATCTTAGAGTATATGGTACAGGATTGTGTCCAGACAGTTGTGGAGTATCTCCAGTGTGGGAGACTTCACATCCTCTCTGGGCAGTCTTTTCCAGTGATCGGTCGCTGCACAGTAAAGAGATTCTTCTTCATGTTCAGGTGGAACTTCCTGGGTATCAGTTTCTGCCTGTTGCCTCTTGTCCTATTGCTTGGCATCACCGAGAAGAGCCTGGTCCATCCCCTGACACTTCCCTTCAGGTACTGATAGACCTTGATGAGGTTCCCTCTCAGTCATCTCTTTTCAAGGTTGAACAGGTCTAACTCTCTCAGCCTGTTCTCATAAGAAACATGCACCAGTCGCTACCAAATATGGTAGTTTACATTTCAGCACATTTTTGTCTGCTTAGGTCACAACCTACAGTGCTCTATGAATTACTAGTTGAATAGATACATGCACAGTGATAAGAATGGACTAGCTGCAAAGCATAGTCTGCAGCAATGAAGAAGAATCTGGATTTAAAAGAAAAAATGCCACTAATGTTGCTCTTTATAGAGAGTATTGTGGAAAATTAAATTTCTCAGAATCTCTGAAAATGTAAACTCTTAATTTTGAGACTTTTCTGCAAGACATTTTTCTTAAGAAATAGCTAGCTCTGTGTTTTCCCCCATAACACTATCTTCACCTTCCTTTGGCAAGTTCAAAAAATGCTTCATGTACTGTCAAGCATAACTCAGCTGCTCACTTATTTCAGCTCCTTAGTTTAATAACCTCAATACAGCCAAACCTGTCATCTTCTAATGCTAAAGTCAGAAACTATTGACCAAGAAACTGATTTCCATTCCAGGGATGACCACAACTACACTTCAGACTTCCTGCAGACCCATGGAAATGAATCTTTTAAGTCTATGGTTTGCCCTCAAGACTTTTGTCACATGTTGAAGCCTTGACCATCCAAAGAGTATAAACCTGTATAAAACTGTATTTTACACACAGTGCATAAATTAGAAGGCACACATCAGGCTGCTTTCAACTACTACTTTTTGCTGGATAGAAAACCACCACAGCTCAGCTTGGGGCCTTACAGGGGAACATCAACACAAGGGTAAGTCTTCATGAATAAACATAATGTTGTCAGATTTTCCCTGCTCCTCCTCAGGGGATTGTTATAGCAGAGGTTGTAGAAACAACCTCTGGACAAGGAGGGTTTGTGTTCCTTTTTTCACTACTTAAAGACACCTCAAAGAGTTATTTACTCCTGATAACCACAGGGGTGTGGCAGCCTCACCTTGTGTTTCTCTTAGGTTCCTTGGCTTCAGCCTCTGTATGCCTTTGGATGGGAACACCACCCATTCCTGCAGGTGTGACGGGATATTTGGAAAGACAGATGTGAAGGCATGGAGAAGTGTGGCTGGATCAGAATTCAGCAAAGCTGCTGCAAGACCACTTGGAACAGTTGCAGTGCCTTGACCCAGTGAGATAGATCTGTGTAGTTCATTTGGATGTGTGGAGAGGGAAGTCAAGATTGAAACTTAAACCTGGAGCTCTGTGCTGCATGCAAGTAAGCAAGGGGTGCTTTTCAAGGGTGGAGAAACCAATTTGAAAGGTTATGTTATAAAAATATAGGTGTCAAGCGCTATATTTGCCACTCCTGGTTCAGGCTAAATGCATTTTACAGTGTTCTTAAAATTGAGGCATTTGATTTAACATGGTTTAATGGATTTGTGTGTCCTCAGTCTGCCATGAACTGACTTAAAACCAGGACAATTTTGACATATAAACAAGACATAAAAAAAAAGGAAAATAAAAAAATCTTAATAGGTTGTGACTCTTCTTCATCTTTAGTTAGTCAGGAATTATTTCCTATGTGCAGTAGGTGTGGTCCATTATAGAACTACAGTGCAGCAGAAAATCTTTTTCAAATAAGAAGCATGAAGGGAGGGGGGAGCATACTGTCCTTAGTATTACATGCTGACAAACAGATCATTTGTTCCAACTTCTGGAATCAATTAAAACTATGGAAAATAATCTGTGTGCTCATATAAAAAAAAAGAAACAGTATGCAAAGGCATGCTTTGGAAACTTTGGGAGGTTGAAGTCAGACTTGCAATTTCTGAAGCCCTGATTCATGGTTCCTGAATGTGTAGAATTGCTGATTTCAGAGATTTGACCCGTGAAGCGTGAAAGGCAAGTCATCTCCTGACTCTCTGGTGAGGTATGTCTTGCTTGTGCCTCATATTAGAAGCCCAGAAGCTCCATGTTCCCAATGTATGGGGAGGGGAGAGGTGTCTGCATTTTGTCAATTCTTTTTTTAACATCTCAAAATCTATCAAGGCCCTGATTTCTACCTTACTTCTTCATCAATACCCATCTTCCATGTAGACCTTGCAGCAACAAGTCAGTCTGTGAGTCAGCTGCAAATATCACCAAGCTCTTCCACATCCTTGCCAATGTCCAGGCTGTTCCCAAACACTAGTCATCAAAGGAAGTCTTTATTTCCACAGCAGTTAAATGACTAACCCAAGATCAAACAGTGGGTCAGTAGCAGAGGCAGGAACTGAAATCAGGTCTTCTGACTCAAGTTTCTCTTGGCTACAGCCTCCGGGTTACACAGCAGAATCCATTTGTGCTGTAAGTTTCAACAGTTGCTGAGACAAAACTTCATTTTCTTTCCCTGAGATATTGTATCTATGTCATCCTGTTCTCTGCACGCTAGGACGCAGCTTCTTAGCATTAGACTTTGAAAAGGGAGGAAAGCAGGAGGTGTTTCTAAGTGGTTTCACTCTTTTGATCAATGAGAGAGGTGAGCCAGAGTGTGTTCCAGTGACCTCCTGCTATATAAAAGCTTGGCCTGCCTGACAGGACTTCTGGCTGCCGAGTAGCTGTGAGTCACAGCCTTTACTGCTTTAGTTTGGTGCAGATTGTTACACCAGACACTGCAGAAATGAGGTGGCCTCTTGAATATTTGCACTGCTTGGCAAGCTAGGGTAAATGGGAGTGGATTCAGGAAGTTCTGGCAAGGGCAAGCACAGCTGGTGTTAAGGCCTTTGCAGGGCTCCTTTTGTGTGTCTGTGTGTGTTTGTATCTGTAGGAAAATAGCAAGGCCCCTGGAGTTTTTTTCCAGCCGGGGTTCCTGGGAAAGGATGAGTAATGTGGAGATTTCCTGTGACTTTTGGAGGGAAGAAAAAAAACGCATCGCCTTTTGGGGGAATCTTCTTGGATCTTCCACCATCCTACTTTTTCCCTGAGTGGCACAGAACGCCTCTCTCCTGGGCTCAGCGCTGCTTTGTTTATCACAGCAACACGAGCTATGGTGTGCAAATACTGTGCTCTGCCCTTGTTTGCCTGGACAGTCCAGGATCTGATCTGTACAATTCCTATTTCCTCCTTGTGGGTGTGCTTTGGAACTTAGCTCCATGTAGGCCACAGTTACCAGTGGTCAAGGTGTGCCTGGCCTGGGATGCTGGGAGTGTTTCCCTTTCATGACTGAAAGGATCAGGCCTGTAAGGGAGGGACTATGTGGTTGCAGAGGGTTTTGCACAGCACCTGGCATGGTTGGGTTCAGATTCACGATTGAGTCAGCTGGGTGCTGTTGCAGTGTAAATTACTAAATAGGAATGACAGAAGAGATGTGGGGGTTTCCCATTGGCAGAGGTATAAAGGAGTGATGTACCTCAACTCTGAATTTATTACTATTTATTATTTGACTTGCAATACTGCCTGGAGACTGCCTTCAGGGACAAGTGCTCTGTTGTGCAAAGTACGTGCATGCAGGAAAGACTGAGCCATTTCCCACCCTGAAAAAGGGTGTTCTCCAAGTTGTTTGAGCTCTTTGGGGGTGGGGATACTGCAGTGGTACAGGGGCCAGAGTGTAAAGTAAGGAGTGCTGCTACAACTGAGAGCCGTACACAAGCAGTTTAGACATCAGGTGTATGTCCAAAGATCTGCTTCTATTATTTCTGTATGCTCATCACCACTATTTGGCCATGACATTCTCTAACTTTTATTTCTTGATGTGCACTTAGCCATTTCATGTTCTGAGTGCTTTACAAATATCATGTAATTAGGAAAATAACTCTCTATTTGCACAGGCAGTGCATGTTCAAAATTCAGCTTTCAGAAATGTAGCCTCAACTGAAATTTCCTTATCTGCTTCTAACTCTCCCAGTTGCTCTTGCCAAAATGATTTTTCATCCCCTCAACCCCATAACTGACTGTGACAATGGTAATAAAATGAGTACAGCCTGGGCAAATAAACTGCTTGCCTCTACAGTGTAAAATATAAGACTGGTAAAAGAAAGTAAGGGCTGATAGAGAGTACATGTTTTGGATTCCAGCGTCAGTCCATTTGCTAAATATGCTGGTTTTTGTAGAAGAAAATCAATGCAAAAGAAAGGGCTGCATCTCCCAGTGCCTGATCTGCAGTTGCTGAAGCCAGAACCACGGACTCAGGAGCAGCCCAGTTTCTTCACTTTCCCACAAGCCTTGCTGTTGGGGCCAGGGAAGAATTGATCCCTATGACTGCCTGTATGAAGTGTGAGCCATTGACATAAAGCTCAAGACTTGTCTCCCTATCAAAATCCAGGGTATTTTTGTTTAGTTTTGCCTTTTTATTTTTTTCCTTCTCCTCTCTCTCAAAGGTTAAATGGTTCCCACAGGGTGCAAGAAAGGGTTATTGAAAGCAGCAGGTCCACTTCTGAATATTGCACTTCTGGTAAATCTCTGATCCAGCATCTAGTGGTTAACCACTGATACAGGAAATGACATTTAACATTCTATCACTCAGCCAGAAATGGAAGAACAAGGCAAGTCTGTATGTGGTGAAGATGGATCATTGCCTGCTATCTATCCCTTAAAGGCATATCATGCCATTTAAAAGGAAATGTTTTTCAAGCAGGGACTTTTTTTTCCTCTTTGTGTACCTTTCTGCTTAAGGTGTAGTAAAAAGCTGGAAAACAAATCCCCTTCTTCCTCCTTCCGCGAGGTTTTCCCTGCTAAAATAGGGGCTATGGCCTTATAAACAGCTTAAATACTCTTTCCTGCTCTTTGGTATCTTTTGGAAGTGTATCCCAGGCCCTCGAGGAAGCCGGGGCGGGGTGGGGAGGTGGGGGGAGGGATGCGCGATGGGCGAGTGATGGAAAATTCGGGTTTCGGTAGGTGGCACTCGCTGCACTGACTCAGGGCTCAGCTCTCCCGGGCATGATGTGGTGCTGCCTTTGGTCCGAGCAGTCCTGAGCAAATGTGCTAAAGGAAGAAAACGATTTAAAAAAAAAAAAAAAGTCATCAAAATACAGGGCCGGAACTTCAGTAAGTATAAATTGTGGTTGTTTGCTGACTGCAGTGTAGGTGCATTGGTTCACAGCAGCAGCACCTGCCTGTTGTCAGCACAGGCTAACCACAGCGGGTGTGCTTTCTGTCGGAGCTGCTAAAACTTGGTCTGATTACAGAGTGCATATTCAGGAAGCAAGCAAGTTTGCAAGTATGTACAATCCAACTAAATCTCAAAAGGTGTCACGTCTGCCTATATAAATTCTAACAGTTTCAGATGTTTTCACATGGAGTGGAAAAAAAATACCCCAAAAGATGCAGGAAGACACTCTCCTCCTGCTAATAGGATATGTGGGCAAACACTTTGGTGTTTTAGCTGTTCCAGAGGTCATTTTCACCTAATGACACACTGTGAGTATGTTTTCCAAAGTAAGAGCTTCACAGATTGCCAAAACTTTCCTGGAAGTGAGCACAGAAATACATTAGAAAGCAACATATTAAAGCTACACCAGTCCTCCTCATCTGCGGGGCTGCATAACATGATTTTCATGAGCCCAAGAGCAGCAAGAAGCAAATGCTTCAGAGACCCAGTGGGTGGTGGTGGCAGCAGAGACCTCTATGAGAAGAAGTTAGTTCAAAGGCTACGGATGATGGCAGCTCTCCAGAAGTTCTGCTGTTCTCTGGCTTGGCTGGAAGTGAAGCAGGATGACGGGGTGAGCACTTGGATGCTGGAAAACTGGCTTGTTCACTCCTGCAGCAAGGATCTTGGATCCCACTAGCCATAACCTACCAGTACAGCACTCTTGTAGTTGAAGCACTGGCTTGCTCAGTGTTTGAAAGCCATCCTTGCAACATCACACTGGTAGATCAGGCAGAGAAAATCAAAAAGTCTGTGACCTAGAAACAAGTTGAGATTTGTGTTCAAATGGCAATCTGATGTGTACTGGTATGAACTGTAAATGCAAAGAAGGATCTGCAGTCAGTTGGCATCAAAAATGGGTAAAAGAGAAAAGTGTAGTTCTAGCTCTCAGCACACTGACTGTTCATTTAGAGTGCCCATTCCTCAGCCTCTTGCTAATTTTCCTTTCAGTTGTGGAAACCTGCTTGAATATAGAATGCAAAGTGAGAAAGCTGTGGAAGCTGCTTGTAGCATAGGGATAAGGGCTCTGGAGAAACACACATGCATCATCCACAAAGAGTGAAGATCCATGTGCATGTGTGAAAACAGATTATCAACCCTTAATGCTGCATATTTTTGAAACCGTTACGATGTATTTTGTGCATCAGAAAGTC